AAGAGGCAAACCAAAAATTTAAAAAAAAAAAAAAAAAAAAAAAGGGACAGATTGATTGAATCCTGATGATACCAACCGAGGATGAGGGGAGTCTTCAACATGACTTTCAGGTGTGGGTGTGTTACATAGACAACTATTCAGGTCTAAATTCAAAGCACAACAGTAAATCAATCTAAACTATGGATTGGCTACTTGCTGGCTGCAAAAGAGTATATAAAAAAATATGTACATGCATAGTTTCAGCCACGTAAAAAAGTAAAGGGTTTCTTTAAATTGCTAGAGAAAATGCGGAAAGAGATTATCGATTTATCACTAACATGAAATTTTAACATGAAAAGTTCTGGATAGAGTAGGAAATGGCAGAGGAGAGACCTGAAGGAGAAAGTTAAAAGGAGCTCTCCCCTCACTGCTGGGCACTGGCTGCAGGGATCTGTGTCCCCTCCCATCCCCGCTGGGAGCAGCAGAGATCAGAAGGGACACAGAGCCCATGAAACAACTAATCAAACTAATCAATATTGAGAATCGTTGACAACTATTCTCATTAATCGATTAGTTGTTGCAGCCCTAGTAATATTCCATGCCTTTATGGGCCAAGAGACAAGCTGTTAGCTTCTTAGTTATGTTATTTTTTATATATTCTTGAAAGTGATTGACTGAGCAAGGGACATTGACAAAAAGCACAGATGCAAAACATAGTTGCATTTAAAAAAATGTTTAAGTCACTGAATGATGTGGGGACAACACAAAGAATGACCCTTCACATAGGGATATGACAAGGTGGGCTGCAGAATTAAAGAGCAGAAAAACAAGCGTTGAAAATGATCTTCTGACAGACCATCACTCATGAAACTGTAGAAAAGATGAAGAAACAGGTAAACATTTTATTGGTTATGCAGGTTAGATGTTAGACATGCCCAAAACAGTGGAATTAATTCTAAATGAACAGCTGCCAAAAACAAAGGTTGCTGCTCCTTGGATCCCAAACCTCCTGACACAGGAGCTGACCAAACAAGACAAGTCACAAGATACTCTTGCACTATTTAAAGGCCAGGCCATGAGCAATGGATAAAAACATGGGCACACCACTTTATCCCTGAGAGAAAACAATAAATGTGGCTCCCCCACATCAACGAAGGCAACGTCTGTCACTTTAGCAGGAAAGGAGACAGAGCATTTTATGAAACCAGGAGGGAGCGGTGATGCCAACATTGTCTTGTGAGGTATTAGATCATTACAAAACCATACAATGATGATTTGCTGGGACAAGTCACCAGAATTTAAAAGGATAAAGGCTGAAGAATTGTAACCAAAAGGAGTGTATCACCAAGATACATTTCCAAGATGCATAATCACAGCTACAATTGGTTTTAATTCCCAAATGTTGGTTTGATCTGTTTCACGCTGTCCTTACTCACCTGATCTTACCGCCAGACACAATCATCCGTTCTCTGACCTAAAAAGGAACCTATCTTGCATTTGTTTTACAATGGAAGACAATATTCTTGTTGTGGTAACCTATTTTGACACCTATGAGAAACCATTTTATTAGGAGCAAATAAGAAACCACGCAGCATGCTGGAAA